ATGATTAAGAAGATGAACTTAAGTTCATTTGACCTTACTATTCTTTACTTCTTCTCTCCCACAAACCTTAAGCAAAAAAGTATTATCTTTGATTTGAGAAGAGAAAGAACAATTTTATTTTTTATTTTGTATCTACTTCTACTTTCTACCAAAAGATATGTCTCAGCACAAATTAGCAAACCCATCCATTTCTTAATCTTAGAGCCAGTCTAATTTCCAACTTCTGACATAACCTACCATGAGGCATGGATGATATTTCAAAGTAGGGCTAGCCATAATATCTTCCTTTTAATATCTCTTTTAAGTTGATATTATTTTATTAAAAAGTTCATTTTCAGTCTGATTTATGGGACATTGTTGGTAGTAAGACTACCAATAATGCACAGACCTGTCCTCTGCCAATATGAAGTGTCTGTAAAAATGTATTTGACCAAATCCTTTACGGTAAACATCACAATCTGAAAGAGAACCATCTTCTTTGAAGGATTAAAGGCTCCAGATAGATACAAATAAGATTTTTTAAAAAAGTAGACACATGTTAAATCATGGAACAGCAAAGGGGATACTTTATGGAAATGAACTCACAAGATAATAATTTGAATTTGACAAGGTGATAATTAAAGTCCCCAGATAGATTTCTTCCACATCTGTATGCCTTTCAGTAAAGTTGGTTAGCATATTAACTACTGCAGGAGAATACTAAAAAATATTCATGGAATGTAAAAATGCAAATTATTATTCATTTCAATTTGTATAATAAGTGTAACAAAATGCAATGCATACAATATTACACAAGAGGTACTAAACTCTATTATAGACATTTTTAGAGCACATCCTTAGTTGACAATTTTTGTCTTAAAATATTCAAGACATTTAAGTATGAATTACCACTTTTCATAGTTTGAAAGAAATTTTGTGTATCTTCAATGCTCTATAGGGCTAAGATTTTCTTATTTTGAAAAACTAGAATAATTTTTAAGTAATATGTACTTAGATATGTGCATATAAACATATATACACATACACATATGTATATATGCATATAAAATAATTAGTGCAACCTATATATTTAATTTTGTTATCTTTTTTCTCCAGAGAATAACTAAGATTCAATGATTCAATAACCAGAGAAGAAAACATAGATGTGTGATCAAAAAAACAAAAAAAGCAATAGCCATCACATGTTCTAATTTCAAATAATGATCCAACATATTAATTCTCTTCTTCATAATTGGGTGTGGTTATATATACATTTTAATTTAGACATTTATATAGGAAACTATGTCTAATACAATGATAGTAAGAAACTATACATTTTGGGAAAGAACTGTTAGGTATGCAGTAAATGTCACACTTGAAAATGTCTTTGAACCTGGCTGATCTATACAAGGAATATTTTATTTAATGTGGAATTTAAAGATAAGAAATGAATCACTATGCAGAGAGATGTGTTTTCCGATCCTATCTATGAAAAAACAAAGAACCAAGAAGAAAGATTTTCTGAAGCACAGCATCACCTACATTGATGAACAAATAAAACAAAAATTACTCTTCTGGCTGTGAATAAAATTGCTAATTTTAAATATGGCATGGAACATAACAATAGACAATGAAGGGGCCCTTTTCCGCATAGTCACTGGGTGATCAACTGTAAAAACTAATATTCTTTATTGGGAATATTAGTTTGAGTAGGAGAGAGAGAGAAAAAATAAACATGATTACAAAAGGAGGGTAAATTGAAAGACCAAGTTTAAAGTGAAAATTATTTCAGAATGGGGAAAAAACATTCAGAAACCTGGACAAGTCCACTTAAGGAAATGTGTTACACTTGAAGAAACTTTTTAAAATGAGAGAATAATCAAAAAATAAAAGTATAAGGTAAGAAGTGAAGATGATTGAAGAATACATTTGTTGAACATGAATATTTTAACAAACAAGGGAGAGTAGGAATTTAAAGTGTAATGCCACAATTTGGAAGACACTGCTCTTGCAGATTAAGTGAAAACTCTGGTCCTACTATCCAGTGCAAATTATATGTGCATTTCTGTGTAGGTGTCAGATCACACAGAGCTGGTGCTGCTTCTGGGAGGGAGAAGAATGTAGCACATTCTCTGCAGGTGACTGGAAAAGTCTTCTCAGCTTCCTGACTACGGGTTGTGTTTAAGATTCTGTCATGTAGAAATACAGTTTTCTTATCCCCTGGGTGACTTAATGAGAAAACAGCCTCTTTGTTTCTGTGTTTTATAATTTATGTTTTATGCCTTTTTTTTCTTTATGCAATTTTATTTCTTCACTAGGTCAGGTAGTATTACTTGATTTCTACTGAATTACCAACATCACCAGCATGACTCTTTCAAACAGCCATACCAGGAAGGTTCCCCTAGAGTCAGACAACCATGTACCTCTTCTGTTGGCCTCAGCTGTTAGGTACCTGTCTCTCTGAGCAGCCACAGAAATGTTGCATTGTTATAACCCAAGGAGAACATCTGGTCTACTCTGTAAGTGAATATTAGATTTGAAGAAGATACATTTTTAGAGAAAATAGAACAAATGGATTTTTTCCCTACTTAGTAACTCTTGGTTTTTCCTCATCTCCCTTTCTCATTTTTTCTGCCTTACTTAAGATGTCATTTGCCCTCAACTGCACATTTCTCTAATTCCAATCTGTGCTATCTTTGCAAAATAAAATTTTACGTTATTTCTTTCGTCATCTCCTCTTCTTGGTGCCATACACAGAATCCTTCAGAAACCAACCTCACCCTCTGCAGAGCCTGTCTCTGCCTTCTCCACTAAGCCAGTTCCCTCCACTGCCAAGTTGCAGGTAGATCGAATCACACTTGGAGGAGATTTTAAGAACAAGTCTTATAAAGTTCCTGTGTTTTGGGGCCAAAACCTATTGATTTTCTTATTTTCCAGTAAGTATATCTGATTCCGGGGAAACTAGCTCTCAGTTTTCTGACACTTAATGATCTCAGAGAACTATCTATTTTTCTACTATTTTTATTTTTTTGCTTTCAGTGAGAAAAGAAAATATAACAGCACAAGTAATGTACATTTTTCTTAAAATAATTCAAATTAATTTTACTAAAATAAATGTTTAATAATTGCATTTGCATAAAATATTTAACTTTTATGTTACTCTTTTATTATTATCCCATTGGTTTTTTAAAATCTTAACTATCATTATTGTTTACCTCTGACTTTGTTCCCAGTACATAATATGCATAAACACAAATTTTTTCCACTCTCTCTATTTAGTAGAATATAAATGAAATTCTTCTATTTTATTCTTTTTTGAAGTGTTCATTTTTTTCACTTAGCTGAATTGAGTATTTTTTAATATATATTACATTGTGTTAGACAGAAAATTTGACTTAAGACTCAGAGTGACACTACTACATGTTCCCATCATAATTATCCCAGGTATTTGAGGTACCGTGGAAAGTGTAAGGAAGGACAAGCCCTTACATAACTCAGATTGGCTTATCTGAGAACCCATAAGCTGCCAAGATCATAACCTAGTGCTTTTGAATGTGTTCTCAGGGAATAAGTTCATCTTATGCTCTCTAGGTTTTATTTCAAGTTCCCATCAATTTCACCTTTAACCAGCCTCTTCTATTCTTTGCTGAATTGTTCATTCTAATCCAATCATTTCTTCTTCTTTTGCCTGTGGCTCCATTAAAAATGTTTTTGTACAGATAGCCTGTACTATGGATGGGCTCACTTCTTAAGAAATCCAGAGAAACAAACAAAAATACTTCCAGTCACTAGTGGGAAATTTGTACACTTATCATCCATATGTCATTTGGTTCTCATTGAGCTTTGCTGGCTTCCATTAGTCCATTCATTCACCTCTGAGGTTTCTTAGATTAGCCAAGCACTTTTGTAGCTATGTCACTTACAGTGGAGGGTCTTGCTGAGACTAGATCTCCCAAAATTATTTGGACATATTGAGGACTGGAAGTAAAGAAAGACTGCCACTTCAAGACCTGCTGAAAAGGTACCTTTCTCCATAGAAGCAGCTTAAATTCACCATCAGAAATTCACTGTGGCTTTGATTTGGATGAAAAAAAAATGATTTTTTGGTTATACAAACAAACATGTTTTTTCCCCTCAGGAAGATTGCAGTTTGAGAAAATCAGGAATAAAATATGCCCCATGATTTGTTAAGTTTTATAAAAGATCTCATTATTAGTAGAATTACCTCTTGGCAGACTATTTCTTATAGGAAACCATTTACCCTTCCCCTCTTCTCTGGGCACTACAAATATCTCTCTGGTAAGAAATCTGTCAAAAGCACTTCCACAAGAAATTTGGCTATTATGCCATGCAAAAAAAAAAAAAAATGTGGGTAAGAGGAGATATAACCATTACTGAAACCTTTTTGAGGAGGCTTTGCCAGTGAAATCTTTGAGCAGTCACATCTGAAAACCAGCTAGTAAGCTGGTTCTCAGATCTTCACTTCGGCTTGTAACAGGATGGCATTTCTACCCCTTGCCATGTGACTTTGCAGAGCCTCTAGGAGTGTATGTTGATTGCATGTCCCTTGGCCATTGGCTCTGGCTTTGGTCATTGACTTGCCTCAGTCAATGGAAATTCTGCAGACATGATTTGAGCAGGGCGTCAAGGGAGCTCATGTGATTTGGCTTGTCTTTCTGTGTTTCTGCCATTTGTCAGGAAAAGAACCTTCTCCATGGGTCCACCATGGGTCCCAGAAACAGAGGATGCATGCAGCTGACCTAGAGCTAAGCCATAGCCTGGAGCCACATGCAATCTACCCACACAGACCCTGGTTGAGCCACAGCTGACTAGCAGTTTCATGAGCAAGAATTCACTGTTGTTGCAAGCCTCTGAGTTTTGTGATTGCTTATAAAACAGAATTATGCAGTAAAAAACTTCATAAATACAATGTTTTCTGCACACATGCCTATTCTGTGTCCTGCGAGCTTTGATTAAAGGCATGGCTACTCAAAGTCTGATTTTGGCTGTATTGTAGGATACTAAGGGACAATTCCAGATCCAAACTCGCAGTGATACTGCACCGTGAGAGGGAGCAGCATCTGTCCAAAGAAACCAGAACAAAGAGAGCAAAGAGTGAGTGTGGAAAAGTGGTACAGCCTTCTGGAATCAGTTGGCTCACCAAAGATCAAGCAGAAACTGTGACATGCAAAGTTGTGGGATACATAAGCATTTTGTAGGGATTCTCAGAAATACTTGGGGAGAGAAACCCCATAAAAGACTAGATTTTCTGCCATAATACACAAAAACGACATGGGCTATTGCTATTTAGGCATTAAAGGGAAGCATGACCCACCCCTGAAGGCTGAGTAAGTGTGAGACACCTGGTTTACATTTATATAAATCTTTGCACAGGACAATTCAACCTTCTAAGCACAATGCAAAGTAGCATATCCAATCTATTAAGCACAGTGCCTCTTAACTCATAATATATAGCATATAGCAATCCCACCACAGCCGCTAACATTTATGGAGTTTTCCTGTGGACTAGGCTGAGCCAAAGATTTTTCAGGGTTTAATTCATCTACAGATTCATGAGATAAATCATTTTCTTATCTCTATTAAATAACCAAATAAATTGTGACTTAGAAAAATTTAGTAGTTAGACCAAAATCTAGCAGTGGAAAATGACTATATAGTTTATCTCCTCCATAATGATTATTTGACATTTTTAATTTTATCCTTGCTCTCTATATCTGTGATTGACACATTGTACTACCTTAAAAGAAGATGAGACCTAGTATTTGTAAAATATATTTTACATAGTGAGAGCTTACACACACACACACACACACACACACACAGAGAGATATTAAGATTATATATGTAATCTTTTATTTATATAATTTATATATATAAATGCGTTTAAATAAAAATTGTTATTGCATGCTTGGAGTGAAATCTGCAACTGATAGATGTGCTTGTTTATGAATAACATTTTGAGTACAGTCGTTTATTTTCAACATGTAGTTGGTCTTGTCATTTAAATTATATTCTATCTAGGTATATCCTGGATAATATGGGACTGAGGACTTATTTGAAAATCTTAAATGAAGAACATTAGGAACATAGAGAAAATGTATCTTGAATAGAAAATTCTTTATAAGGTCTACTCCAGCAAACCTTGGAAAAACACTCCAATATTTCATCTATTTCCTAATAATGTTAATCATATGGAAACTGTACACTACCTGAAAAATTCACATTGTATAGCAAGTTTGGTTTACTTCAATTACCTTTCTTAACTCTCACCTTGAAAGTGCTCCAGTCCTTAAATTATTTCTATCATTTGTATGTCTTTTTTGATTAGTCACACAGAGGTAGAAAGTGATACATACCCTATCATTCTAAATGCATTCAATCTAAATACAAAAGTTTTGGCAAAAATTATTTTGTATATTTTCATTTACTTTTAAAAGTGGAGGAATATTAGCTTTAAAAAAAATTATCTTTCCAAGTATCTAAAAAAACAGAGATGGTGATAGTTCCTTACCCCCAATTTTTTACATTTGTAAAAGCAGTTAAAAAATGATATCTCAAGATATCAGTAAAAGTTTTAGGGGTGTAATTTTGTTCCCTAATAAAACTAAACAATGCCAATAATTGATTTTTGTTAAAAACCCAAAAGTTGTTACATAGGCTGAACTCAAATTTATTCTCTTTCTGTTACTAACTTAATTTACATTTATTATATTAGGAACTGCTTCTATTTGCAACCATTTAATATGACAACTAATATATTTTACCTTGATTTAATGGCAACTTTTTATTTTATATACAAGACAGCATTATTTTTGCGTGTCAAGTAATCTATGTTTAATAAAAATCCCTACAGAAGCAAGGTTCTATATGTATATAATGACAGTATCTCTGACATATGACACATAGTATCTCTGATTATGACAATTCACATAGATGTATACTAACACATATGTACATATGTTTGAGTATAATATATGTTTTTTTAAATTGTACACACACTATGCATATACATATTAACTCTCTATATAACTATATAGATATTCTCTGACATAAAGTATAGGAGAATTTTAAATTTAAGCAATGTTGAATGATTCTAAAGTGTTGATGTATTTGTTTGTCTGTACAATATTGTGATTCTACCATTGCTAATGTAAAGAGAAAGCTTCCAGTTTATTTTTACATATATATTAATCATTTTTCTGATAAAGTCTTTGTTTAGTCAGAAACTTAGTATTGGTCATTATTATTCCAGTTTTATAAAAAATGATTCTCATGAGAATGAATAGATACCATCCTAAGGAATCATGAAGAACCATATCAGAATTGTACTTTTAAAATTTAAAACCACATGCAAAGACAATCAAGTATTGTATCTTAATACCTCCTCTTCTAAAATTCACAAAACTGCTGTCTGCTTCTTCTAGAGTTGACAGAGAATAATCAGACACCCCTCTTCACCCTAGAAACTTAGTCCATTATTCCTGTAATCCATATTTTACATTTTACTTTCATAGAAGAAAATTCTATGTTAGAAGTGGATTTGTTAACTCCAACTTTATGTTGAATCATACATCAACCTAAAGGTTTCTGAGAATATATCTATTTTTATTTACTACTTTCTTAACAAACAAAAAACAGCAAACAAAAAACTCCCCCCCCCCAAAAAAACTGGTGTCCCAATCTTGTAAAATAAATATTCCATGTTAATTATATGAATAACAAATATGAAAAGGAAAGACATGCTAATGAATCTGCTTTAATTTAAATGGGGAAGAGTTCCAGCAAACTAATGATAATGAATATGTTCTGAGGGTTTATATGTGGAAAGCTTTGTGTCAAGCACTGTGAATGCTTTATTTCATTTAAACTTCACATTAGTCTCTATAACACTTAGAGAGATTATGAAACTTGGCCAAGATTACACAATGAGAAAGTAATAGATAAAAGTGGAATTTGATCACAGGAAGTAATTTCTAAAGACTGAACATTTGACCATGGTCTCTAACTTGCTGATGTTGAGGCTATCAGCATGTGAATTTATTCCTATCAGGTTAAATGAAATTCAAGTAACTTATTTAACTTGAGTCTCAGATACATCCCCATAAAAATAAATGGTCCCATTTGTAACACTACATTCTCAGTAGTAAGTATGCTATCTACAGTGGTGTGATCTCATCAGGTCAGAATGCTTCATTTTATATCTTCAAGACACATCATTCTTTTCTTTCTATTTTTTCCTAGAAGAATTAACCAAAAATCAGTCTAAGATGGGGCAGCTTGGCTGAGATAAGATATGCAAATCATCTGCATTGTTTGACAGATACAGACAAATTAATCATATTACTAACAAAAGTCAGTTGTTAAAATATTGAAGTACATCAAAAAATCCTCTCGTAGCACAGGCCTGGAGGGTGGATAGCAATAACATTTAATCACTTAGCAGATAGTTGCAACTTCAATCCTGTCACCTAAAAACAAACAAAACAAAACAACACAACAGCAATACAACCTTTTGTATTTTTAATAAGAGGTTAGTTTTGCTTCTGAAAAAGTATTTAAAAATGAATTGAGCCCTTTTCACTTTTTTTGTTTACCTCACTCACCAGATGCTGAGTTATTATATTTTCAAAAAAAGTGAATTTTAATTGAAAAGTAATTTTTCTTTGTATTAATATTCTTGGAAAAAATATAAAAAACAAATATTTCTAGAGTCATTTATAAAAAGTTGTAAGTAATATATTAATCATTAGCATTCTCCCTGAAATAATAGCTAGAAATTATAAAAGTAGAGACGGATCAATCAGTAGTATTGATTGAAAATGTAATATTAGATGTATCGGATTATAAATTCATAATAAAGGTGAGGGGAGATGTTCATTACTATTTCAGATAAATTAATATCTTTTAAAATTTCTCCACATACATTCACTCACTATTCCAAAATGTCACAGGACTCTTGGTTTGTTAAGAGGCAGATTTGTTAACTCAAACCTTATGTGGAATTATAAATCAATCTAAGGAGTTCCTGAGAATACACCTATTTTTATTGAATATTTTCTTAACAAACAAACAAAAATAAGCATACAGACAAAAACACAAAAATCAATCAAACCAAACCTCCAAAACAACTGATGTCCTGAGCTTGTAAAAAGTATTTTACAATTTGTTTGTCTTCCTGATTAAAATATTAATAGCTCACAAATCAGCATGGATAACTTTCAATAATAATTTAGTGAGGATCTTGTCAAGAAAAAGGGGAGAATTTTGATAACTTATTGTATGTGTTTCTATCACTTTGTAACAAGTTACCATAAAACCTAATGATTGAAAACAACACACATTTATTGTCACACAGTGTGTTCATGGATCAGGAGTCTGGGCGTGGCTTAGCTGGGTCCCAGGCCCAGGGTCTCTCAGAGTCCAATCAAGATGTCAGCCAAATTACATTGTCATACGGAGGTTTGTCTGGGAAGAATTTGCTTCCAAATTTATTCAGCTTTGGCAGAATTTATCTCCTTGTGGCTGTATGACTGGCCTTTTTGCTGGTTGTGGTGGCAGGTCCTCATTAGCTCCAGAGATCTCCTGTGGTCCCCAGAGGCCACCCATAGTTCTTTGCCATGAGCACTGCTCCAACATGGCTGCTTACTTTATCAAGCCTGCAGGGACATCCAGCCTCAGTTGGCCACGTCTTATGTAAAGTAACCTAATCACTGGAGTTTCATCACCTTTCCCATATTCTATACGTTAGAAGTAAGTCCCATCTCCTGCCCACATTCAAGGAAAAGGGATTACACAAATGTGTGATTACCAGGAGGCAGAAATTATGTGGGTCAGTTTAGGGTCTGTTTGCCACACCTATATATTTGGATGTAGTTTCACAGAAAGACTGTGGGGTAGCATAAACATATTATAAATCTATTCTAACGTCTGATTCTGAGAGAAAATAACTCAGTGGCTCAGTATGACGTATAGATTTTAGCAGTTAACATGTAACCTGGGCTGATGTTCTTCAGATATCTCCTAGTGTGCATGTATCCATTGTTAACATCTCAGTATACTT